TCCAGTGCCCTGCTTGCTGCTCTACCCGGCCAAGGACCTTCCGTGGCCTGCCCTGTTCCGTGCTCGGCTGTTTCCATCCCACCAGGCTGCCACCCTCTCACTGACCCCGTGAGGTGGGTGGCCCAGAGCCCCCGGGAGTGGCGGTGACTTGCCCGCCGCGGTCTGTTTATAGCAGTGCACTGAGACCCAGCGCTGTGGTCGGGTCTGGCGGCTGCCCCACAAAGGCAGCTTTCAGAACACACTGGGCTGGAAACGGGGGCAGAATCGGGGTGAGGCAGAAGGCAAAGGCAGGCCGGGGTCTGGGTCGGCGACTGTGCTGGAAGTTCTTACACATACCAGACTGTGCAGAGGGCTTTGCACGTGTGACCTCAGGTCCACACGGACGCGGAAACAGAGGCTGAGACACTTGCCCAAGGCTTTGAGCTGCTCTTTTGGGGGAGCTATGACTGGAGCCCTGAGTGCCCTGAAGTAAGACTGCTATCTCCACCGTGGTTGTTTGGCCTTCCTGGGTAAAATTAATCCTAATAGTTGCTATTCAGAGATTATCTATAGGGTGTCTAGTGGGGGAAAAGGAGAAACATCTGTAACAAAAATGAATTAATAAAAATTGAAAAAGAAAGAAAGATTATCTATAGTTCTCAAAGCAACTTTATAGATGAGGAGACTGGGGTTCCGAGGGGACCAGTGATTTGCCCATGGTTGCACAGGTGGGAAGTGAGAGTTGGGGCACATCACCCAGCTCCTCCAAACTGTGAGGGAAGGAGCCTGGCAGACAGGCCCAGAAGCTCTGTTCTGATGGAAACCTTTCCTCTAGGACAACGCAAGGTGTCTTCCTCCTGAGCCGCCTTGCAGGTGGCGTGCCGTTGGCCCCCTCTCCTGGCATGACATGGAGTGCTCTCCGTCAATGTGTCTGAGCAGGAAGCAGGCCTCGCCATCCTAGAACTGGCTCGGGCAGACAGCCTGTGGGCAGCTGGTCTCCTGGAGCTCGCTGTCAGAGTTGGGCGAAAGGCTCCGCTGATAATAAAGGGCCACTTGACTAGCAGCAGCTGTGCAAACATTGTCCTGGGGATGTGGGGAAGCAGAAGGCTGGTCCCAGGCAGGACAGAAGTCCTGGGTGTCCAGGCCCACTGCAGACCACAAGGTGTTCCCAGCGCAGACTTACTGGGAACAGCAGAATGCCGTGTGACAATGCTCCTTTGTGTGATTGGACCCAGTAATGTCCACAGTGTGGTCATCCACCCTTGCCCAAGCATTAATGGAGATTTGTGCTTGGAATGAAAACCAGCAAAATCCTAGCTTATTAATAACTTATGGAATATAAATAAGTTTGTTAGTTGCTATAGCTTGTGAAAACGGCTGCATGGACTTAGACCAAACTTGGTGGGTCTGTTCCCAGTGGTCTGACTTGGTGTATGAGGAATGAGCCTTGGGCAGGCGTCAGAAAGACAGGCAGCTGCCACCACAGTGGCTGACCTTGAGCCCTAGTGAGACACACGCAGCAGATGGGGGCATGGTGGTGATGGTGAGATAGGGTGGATAGAGAACACAAAGGGCCAGATTGACCCCCAAGGCTGGGAGGTGGCCCTCCTGTTTCCTCTTGGGGTCAAGCCTGAAGTCAGCTGAGCCACCTGCTCCAATTGGCAGGTGCTGTCACGTGGCATTGATTTACTGCTTCAGCCCTTCTCTGCACTGTCACCATCCTCTGGCTGGTTCTTTCCCAGGAAGAAGCTGTCAGTGCATACTGTATGACCTTGAAGTAGGGATCAGGTCAAAGGTTACAAATAGTCATAGAGCCACTAGGTGGGGCCAGGCGAGTAAAAGCGGTATGGACAGGGCAGCTGTAACTCGGGGAGACCATGGGCCCACTGGGCTTGTGGCAATAAGGGAAGAGGTCGGAAAGTAGACTGTTAGCAATACATCATGGTGATAGTGCCAATAACTGGCAAGGCCTTACAGGAAAGAGGTGAACTCAGAAAAAAGCTCCAGTGTGTAAGCAGAAATTAAAGGGAAGAAGGCAAGCCTAGACAGTCGAGGATTTGTAATGTTGGATAAGTAAACTGATTTGGGGCCCTGAACAGCAAGAAACAAATGTAGAGAAGCCGTATGTGACAGAAGCCTCCATGCAGTGATCAGATTACAGATGTCAGACTAGGGCAAACTTTTCAGGTGGACAAAATGGCTCAGGGAAAACAAAGGGTAACACTTACATTTCCCACAGAAGCCCCACCGACTCAAGATTTTACCCAACAGCTGCTCCATTAAGAGTGCTGGATAAACTTGACCACATTCAGCCTGACCATTGGTTTAGCTTCTGCCATATCCAGTCTGTTGCTGTTGCAGGGGAGGAAAAATAATTTTCCCTCTACCCTTCTGAGTTCTTACCTGAGACTCCTGTAATAAGACAGATTAACAAGAGAAAAAACATGAGCAAGAAAAAAACAAACAAGTTTATTAAACATGTATTCCTTGTGTATGTATATGTGGGAAATACCCAGGGAAAAATTAGTAACTCTCTGAGGTATCTTAGAACTCTGGCTTAACTGCGATCTTAATAAGGACAGAGGAAGGGGGATGTAAATGTTTTAGGGGAGTGTAAATGATTTTTAGGAAAGACAAATGGGCCCTTGAAGAGTAGATGGGAAGTATGATAGTTTGTGACAGTTTATCTGGGTGTGGTGAGGACTTCTGGTCTCCTCTCCTATGATAAGAGTCAGTCTTCTCTGGTTGATGAAACTCCCGGAAAGGGGGTTGATGACAATTCAGTTCCTTTTGGAGGATCTGTCCTTAGGCAGAGAAAGGAAGTTCAGAGAAAGCCTCTCCCTGCATTTGCTGCTTTTTTAAGTACCTACATCTCAAAATCATCAATGTGCCAACTCCGTATTTTGGGGTTGCATATTCCAACTGGGTGAAGGTGGATTGGTAATGCAAATCAAGCATTTAGCCTAGTTACTGAGTATGGGTCAGGGGCAATGGTCTCCTGTAGATGCTGCTCCAGGCAAAAGAACTGGACTTCAGAAACCAGCATGGGGCTCCTAAATGGACATCCACAAGACTCTAAGGTTTTGATGGGTTTTAAAGGTTGGTACTAGTTGTTGTTATCTCTCAGAGGTTAGTTCTGGTTCTCTGTGGTTTTTCCTTTAGGGAGAGAAGCCTTGAGGTACTGACTAGTTCCTTGTTTAGGAACACATGCAGTAAGGGGATTTAGGGACAAAGTATTTTGGATGGCCTTAACTTGCTTAGGGAGGAATTGTTCTATCTCAGGACACACAGGATCTCCCTAAATTCTGCATGACTAACCTGACACTCGGAGCATGTGCAAATAGGCTTAGCAGGTGACCAGTTCCCAAGGAGGGGGCGGAGGCTGGCTGTCAGCTCCCAGTTCCCTTAGGGCTGTTTGTCTTGACTCCCCTGCCAGGCCTGACAATGAAACTTTTCCCCAAGGGCACTGGGTACTACTTCCTTTCAGTTTGGCTCCAATTAGCCAAAGAGCCAGCCCTCTGTCCCAACAGTATATTTACTGCTGTGATCTGATGACCTTTTCTAGTGAAATCATCTCTAGTCTATGTGACTGTTAATGGATAGAAACAAGATGATTAAAAAAAAAACTCTGGTTGACGCCTCATAGGGAGGGGCCTTCCCATGGAAGGATCATGGTTTTGAAGAGGGGACACTAGTTAGTTTGAGGAAGTTCTTTGCAAAGCATAGGACGGGTTAAGACTGGCCACTCACGTCTACCTGTTAGTCAAGTAAAGAGGACTAGAGGCCTTCTCTGGTGCTGAGGACTTTGATTGTTGAACCCGAAACAGAAAAGGACATGAACCTGTTTTGGCAGAAGTAGAATTGAGCCCATCCTGCCCCAAACGTGTGGCCAGTTGCTTTCGAATGAGTACACACGCCGAGTATGGCAGTGCAGTCCTATTGCAGGGGCACTGATGGTGCAGGTGGAAGTGGGTTAGTATAATGGAACCAGCTAAATACAGATCCTCAAATATTTTGTTGTAACCCACTGATGAACAAGTCCACTGCCTGTGTGGAGTTGGTAAGTATGCCCCCCCGTCTGTGGGCTTTCCCAGGACTGGTTTCCTCCCACATCCCGAAGTTTGTGCTTGAGGTGAGCTGGCGTGTCTGCACTGTCCCGGTCTGAGTGGGTCGTGAGTGGCCCTGTGACGGAAGTCCTGGGCAGCATGTCTCCTGCCTCCAAGCTGCCAGGAGACTCTGGCCATCTTCCACCCTGAACTAGAATAAGCAAATAATTATCTTGTTTCTATTCATCTTTCTTAAAGGTATGTACAGCCCAAGTGTTTAATATTAGAGGTGTTTTGGGTCTCTATGTGGAAGTTTGGGATGTTTCTGTGACCAGAAAAATGCTGCAGGAACGTAACTCTTACATCAATTAACTGATGGTAAAACGGAATCTGTCATATTTCATTTCGCTTCAAGTTAGTTTCCAAAAACCTATCTATGATGTTAAGTGAGGACTTCCTGTAGGTTACCATTTATTAGATTAACAATATCCAGCAGCAGACCCAACTAAGGACCAAAGACTCTTGGTCTGAAGTGACCGCTGGCGTTACCCAGGGCACAGGGCGTGGTGTGTGCAGGGGGCCAGCAGCCTCAGCATCACCAGCGTGCTGGACACACGCTCAGGCCCCACCCCTGAAATTCTCCCCCAGAACAGGCGTTTTCCTGAGATCCCCAGGTGATCCTCCTGCACATTCAAGTCTCAGAAACACCGGTATAATGCACGGCCCTCAACTGAAGACTGGCACTGGGAGTGGTCCGAGGGAGGACCTGCCGGCCCACGCCAGCTGGGCCTACTGGCTTCAGGGCGACGGTGTTCAAGTTGTGTGCCCCACTCCTTCGCCACCAGGAGCCATGTGCTGTGCACAGGAGCGGCATGTGAGCGGAGGGAAGTTTACCTTCCACATCCTGGGCTCTAAGATTCAGTTGAAGCTTCAGAGTAAGAGTATCAAATTAGTTTATTATAAAACTTAGGCTATTCATTGATCATTCAATTTTCTAAAAAACACAAACATGAGAAGAAAATAAACACAGCTAAGACTTCCTCTCCTTGCAGGGCAGGAAGCAGCCCTGGACAGAGAGCCTTTTACCTAGTGTCTGGACTTTCTCATGCGTCCTAGGGTCCCGTGTCTGTCACCTCTTCGGGGAAAGGACACTGAAGCTACAGGATTCACGTACAAGAGGGTCACTAGAAGGTCACAGCTGTCTGATGCTAACAGCTTGCACGTCCTAGTTTGCAGCTCTGAGGAATGATGCCAAACATGCTGTCACAAACCCCCAGCCCACCCCCACTGCCATTCTCAGAAGCTGCATCCTGGGGGCTGCTTACGTTCCTTCACTGCAGCTCGTTTATCCCCAAGCACGAACCCTAACATCCACGCGGTCTCCAAGTTCAAGTAGAAAGGTTTGCTTCAGGACAACCCCAGCCAATGTAGTGTTTCTTCAGGCTCTGTAGTGTCTGCGGGTGTCCCCTTGGATAGGCTAGCCAGTTGGCAGGGCACATAGGCCAGCTTTCCTCCTGCCACACTTGCTCCCCATTCAGTGTGGACCCCACTTCCAAAGTCAAAGGTGAAATCAGTGACGACCTGGGCCTGTCTTCATTGTAAAGTTGTACTGTTATGAACTGAATGCATTTCTTCACCACTATTTGATGGAGCTTCCAAAAGATGTCAGGCATATTCTAAAACGAAGAGAATCCTATCAAAATGCTTACTGATAAAAGAGTGCATTTACTGAATTTTATGTTCCTAAAAGAATTTACAATTGAACTAGGAAGACACGGAGTGAATGTCTTGACACTCCATAATGGCATCAAGGTCTGCTCCCACATAGGCATCCAGAAAGTTCCTCTCTTGGGTGAGTGCCGCCTGAGCCCGGAGTTCCTGCCTTGCTCACTCACTGATGCTTTACCAAAAATACAGACATTTTAACGAAGCTTACAAACAGGACACCAATGCAGAATGAGGTGTCAAGGCCAACCCAGAGGTTACTAACGATGGCTAAGCACCGTCCACTGCCCATATGGCTCACACTGTCTCCCAAACCTGCAAAAAGCACTGCTCTGTGCATCTACAGCTACTCTTAAAAATTAGATTCCAAATAGAGAAGGACGCGCTTACCAGAAGAGCCCCATGGTAACTGACAGTGGTGACCTCCACTCTGTTTAAACATCAGGAAACCAAGCAGGGCTTCGAGCAGACTTCAAGTCCCATTTAGGATGAGGCCAGTTTTGAATGCATTGCTTGATTTTATATCCAAATTGCAAACCCAAATTTAACTTGTATCCAGGGGTGAGACTCATTTAAGCGACTGTAGAGAAACAGACTTTCATCTGAATTGCCCTGGTGCACACCTGCCCTCCTGCTGGTTTCTAGTGAAGCATCCCTTCACAGCTGAAACAGCTCCATGGCCGGCTCCTCCTCACTGACACCGGAAAACGCCACTACTTAGTTCAGTGAAAAATGACTCGTACACAGTAGATGAAGTCCATCTGCGTAACTACTTTTCTGAACAGACAAGATGATTATCCCCAGGGATGGCTTACCCCTCGGCTATCCAGTCATACATTTATAAGTCAGAGATGATGCTCCTGGGCTAAAGACGGGGTACCGGACCTTAGGAAGCATCCTGGGATGGCGCTGGGGGGTCCTGGCTCTCTGGCTCTGGAGGGGGCGCTGGCACGGCTTCCTTCTTCTGGGCTGCCAGGAACTCATGAATTGCTCGCTCTATCTGTGGCCTGAAGATGTGGTTTAGTTTGGGATCCACCACCTGAGAAATAATTCTGTCCACTCCAGCTTCCAACATTCCTGACCTTGGAGAGACAAAGAGATCATTCTGTTATTCAGTCCTCTGAGAGGCTTTTGTCCCCAAAAAGTGTCATGTGAAAGCCCAGTAAATATCCCCTGGTCAAAGCAACAGCCACTCCAGAGAGTTCTTTACAAGGGTGATCCACTTAGCAGAGTTCAAGCTGTTACGTTTTTACTTTAGAGGAGCAGCTCCCAGCCAGAAGCTACCTATTACTCCTAACGCACAGTCCCACCCACTACCACTCAGCCCTGTGCAAAGGAAGCCAGCCAAACCAAGCAGCCTGTCCCAAAGACAATGAAAAGTGATGACGACGAGGTAGAAAAATCTTGAGGACGGGACAGAGTTGCAAACCTTAATCGTGCTGGCAAAGCCAGCCAGCCCAGACTTGACTCCATTTCCTTCGACATCTATTCTCTTACTGGCCAAGCAGAGTAGCCTCCAGAGGCAACCTGGCTGCTGATCTAAACCTTCTCTGACTAGATGCAGTGCCAGGAGGGCCACCGCATTGCCACAGTTCCACACCACCTGCAGCTGTGGCTGTACCTAGAACACACATTAGGGACTTGGAAGCAAACAAGTAAATAGGAAACAGATCGGTTCTAAGCTCCTTAAGGGGCTAAGATACACCCCAAATCCTTTTTAAAGTACAGCAAAAATTCACCAAGATAATCCGTATGAACACTTGGGACAGGGTAGTGAGGAAGATTATGGGGACAGGAAACACATCACATTGGAAAGGAGTCCATGGAGTTTCACACCTAAGTGTCCTCACAGGACTGAAATATGCGAATACCATCATAAGCACATGGGTAGGTTTTACTTCTCCCTTAGACTCAAGAGTTCTTGGGCCCTAGCCAGTTTGGCTCAGCGGTTAGAGCGTCGGCCTGCGGTCTGGAGAGACCCAGGTTCGGTTCCCGCTAAGGGCACGTACTTCGGTTGCAGTTTGTCCCCGGCCCTGGTTGGTCGTGCGGGTGGCAGCCACTCGATGTGTCCCTTCACGTCGATGTTTCTGTCTGTCTCTCCCTTCCTCTCTCTCCCTCCCACTCTAAAAAAAAAAAAATAAGAGTTCTTGGGCCAGCCAAGCCCTGCTTGGGTGGAAACAGGTCCTGCAGTGACTGGGCAGCCGGTGGCAGGCCCAGCAGAGGAAACAAGTGAAGAACGCAATGACAAGTGAGACGAGAAACAGGCCCTGGACTGCTAAGGCTGAGCCCTGGATTCAGGGGACTAACAGTTATCAGCAGGAAGCCCAGATGTAAACACGACCCATTAGAGCCCAGGGCACTTTCAGGGAAACCCACATTAGACAGCGTGTGCCCTCCAAGCTGAGCACGTGACGCACAGTGAGGTCAACACCAGGCCGTGGTGAGTCAGTCAGGACGCAAAGCCACCACCCCTCCTTAGTCACGAGCCCATTGCTTTCCAACTGCACCCCCGTCTCCAGAGGCAGATTCGCAGGGTCTTGACTGGACGCAAACGCCTGATCGGAGAAAGCACAGTGCGGCTCGCTTCCCTGGAGACTGAGCCTTGTAAAACAGCAGGAAATGAGCAGATAAAGACTTTTTGTCACAACTAAGTTCAACAGCAGAGCCCGATTTCCTGTGAGGCCTTCTACGCTGCGGACCTGGGACCCCGCTTCTGGGCCTGAACCGCCAGGCCAGCGAGCTGGGGCTGCAGGATCTCACTGGGCGACAACACTCCAGGTGTAAGCAGCAAATCTTCATTCCATAACTTCAATAGAATTTGCCTCAAATTCAAAATGTTAGCAAGAATCATAGCATATTAAGTCCAATTTCATGTTTCTGGTTAAATATATTCTAGATCAAATAAAAAAGCTGGAAAACTTACACAGGTGGTGAAACTAAGCATTCACTTAGAAAGTCAAGACCCAGCTCCTTGTGCCCAAGATCCAAACATTGATATCTTGCCCTGAAACGCCCATGTATGTCCAGACTGCTTCCTGAAAACTTCAAAGGGCAGAGATCATGTCTCGCAGTTTGGATACCCTTTGATGCACCCAACAGACATGCACAGGAAGCCTACACAGGCTGGAGAAACTAGCAAGGACGCCAGCTGAATGCTGTGCTGACTCAGACGTGAGTGTGCGTGAAGGAGAGTCTGCTGCAGCACTGCGTGCTGTCTGCTGGGAACGACCACGACCCCGCGGACAGCGATGCGGCCGGACTCCCGCTGCTGCAGTTCGCTCTCAATTCCTGTCCGTACTTACTGAACCACGCTCTGCCGCAGGCCGTTTCGCAACTGGTTTTTATTCATCGTGGGGTTCCACTCCTGCTTGTCCAGATGTGTTGACACAAAATTATCCACTTTCTGCCTCAGGTTTTGGTAAGCTGGCTAGAATATTAAAAAGGGGCAAGGTCAGAAGTTACACGCATCCAAGTTTTGGAAATCAGTCACGCAGAACAGCGCTTTTCTTAGAAACGCAGATTTTCTAGTTCTTAACTGCACTTCCGTGGGGACAACGACAATCACGCAGCAGGCAGAGCATGAATTAAAGGCTAACGAGTGCCCACTTTATGGGTGGGCACAGTGCCAGGTGTTTCGTGTTTTCTCTCATTTCCTTTACAGGCAGCCCTCTGAGGGGAGGTCCTTGGTAGCCCTCTCCTGTCCCCCCCTCTTTTAGAGATGAGAAATTCAGGCTTAGAAAAAGTGAACAACTTGCTCACATGGCAAAGCCAAGGTTAGACCCAGGCTCTTTCTGAATCAGAGACTGGGTTCTAGCCTGGCTCCGTCGCTTACCAGCTCTCTGACTTTCAACAAGTCCTGCAACCTCTGTGTCTCCGTCATTTCCCACTGGAAAACTGTAGTGTTACTGCCCCATTGACCTTGCAGGGTATCCTCAGCAGCAGACAAGGCTCAGGAAAAGTGCCTGCATAAACTGAAGGCCCACCCCGACCTCAGCATGATGCAGAATTGGACTGAAGTCAGAGCCTGCGGAACACTGGGAAAGGCTGAGGCGAAGCACTTCAGTCCAAAAAGGAGCCGAGCGGTACCAGGTGTAATATGTACACGACCCCCCCTGCCCCACGGGGCACAGGACACCTTCCTACCCTAATGATGCTGAATTTAGTGATGTGCTGCTCTGGTCAATGGAAAGTTAGTGACAAGAGACCTTAAAGGTGGTTGTACTGCCTGGCTTGACTCTTATGCCCTGATGACCGTCTATGACAGCATGCCTTGGGTAGCCCCTGCCCCTTCAGCCTGGGACCCAGGATGAGTATATGTGCGGCAGACCTAACCCCACCCCACAGCTTGGATCCAAGCCTAGGCAATCTGCAACCTACAGCTGAACCATCCTGCTGAAGCCTACAGAGACCAGCTGAACTTTGGGGACCTGTAGTCCTATCAGCATGAGGACGAATGCTTGTTATAAGCCACTGAGATCTGGTTTATTATGCAGTGTTTTTTGGCCAAAGTTTGCTAACAGTCAATAAATGAAATTGACAAAAGAGTCAGTCGGCCTTAACTCCATGAGTGCACTCTTCCAAGAGGCCAAGAAAACTGACTCACAAAATAAAAGACTCCACTGAACCTGGAAAGAGGAAAGCAGGGAGATAAGTGAGAATTAAAATGATCGTGTTCCATCTGCCTAGCAACTCTTTTTTCCTGGTAATATCCTCCCCTCTTCACAAGGGTAGGGCAGTGGGTGCCATGTTCTCCTGGCCACAGCAGAGGGTGCCTGACCCATGCTAAGACAATGCAGACACTTCCCTGGGGCTTTTTTTTTTTTTAACTGGAGCTAAGAGTCCCCTTCTGGAAGAGGAAGCTACAGTAAATCATCAAGAGATACAGTAACCAAAGGGATGACCCTGCTCTACATGAGAGTGGAGCACTATAAAGAACAGAAATGGAAGGCAGGCCTAGGGGAGCAGCCCTGGTCCGCACCCTCCGGCAGTTTGTTCCTTCAGTCCTTCCCTGGATTCCATGAGTCAGCAGAACCCCCTTTGCTTAAAGGAGCTAGAATTAGATTTGTGCCTTGCAGCCAGCCATCCTGATACTATGTCTTCTATTCAAAATAACTTACCTGGTTTGAGATGACAGTTTACTGACAAAGGACAGCAAGTGTCCCCACCAAACCTGAACAGATGCTGACAATACAGAGTAATGCCCTTGTTCCCTAAGTGAAAAGACCTTTTGTGCCTGCCATTAACATTTTACTGGATTATCTATCCCCGTTCCCCACTCCCCGGCTCAGTTTGTTCTGTTTATGTTCAGTTTGGATGCACTGAAAAGTAAATTGCAAACTTTATCAGTACATTTTCCCATAAACACTCCAGCAGTCTGGGGTGGGGCCAAAGAATATGCATTTCTAATGAGTTCTCAGGTGATGCTGCTGACCCAAGGACCACTTTGAGAACCGTGGGTCTAATGCAACGAAGAACTCAAGATGTGCCTGAAAATACACTATCTTCGAGAATAAAAACTGGTAACTACCAGAAGGAACACCTAAGGAGGTGTTAAGTGTGGAAGGCTCAATTCCCTCTCCACCAACAATTTCTCAATATTAACTTAAAAGTAAAAAATAAAACGCATGCTACATCGATTAAATCACACAAAACCTACTGGAACATAAATGTGAGTGGAGGGCGCGTGATGGGAAGTGGAGAACACCCAGAGAGAGTCCTGGGAAAGGTGGAAACTCTTGGACCCTTAAATAAGAAAAATTAAACACCTCATTTCAAGGACCACACTTCTTTTTTTTTTTTTTCCTATCTTGGAGAATAGCAGTATAGACCACTCACTCTACATACTGTCTGGTCCACATGTCTGTTTTCCACCCTGGAGTTCAAGTTCTGAGGACTGGGAGGGGGCTGACTTGTCCTTGTATCCACTCAGCATGGCACCATGCAGGCCAATACAAGTTCAATAAATAAACAGACTGGGTTTTCCGACCCTTAAGGTCTTATTTTAAGCTCACAATCTTGTTGTGAGGTAGGCTCAGAGAGGAGAAATCACTCCCCTTGAGGAGCCCAGCCAGTCTTGTTAGAGAAGCATCTGCGTGTCTCACACAACCCACAAGACGTTCATTGAATCCAAACAACCTTGGCAACTAGGTAAAGTGAAACAGCGTTTTACCCGAGGGGTTGACCTAGGGCATTGGGATCTGAAACAGACTCCAATCACAGGCGATGGAGTAGGAACAGGGGTGCTGGCTCCACAACAGTGCACCTTCGCTCAGCGGCATGTGCAAGTCTGCAATCGCTGAGCTGGAGAAAAGGAACAAATAGCTACCATGTTGACGATTGTGCTTTCAAACCATTCTCGCGTACTTACCTGGATTTCTCCATTCATGAGGTGTGTTATGGAGAGGCTTCAACAATCCCATCTTGGGAAAGACAGGGTGTAGATTCTAAAACCAGTATTGAAACCCCAAGTTCAGAGAAGAGACTGGGCAAAACTAAATCATACACTAACAGAGCCGGGGCTGGGAGCCCAACCCACGTGCGCATCGCTCAGAAAGCTCCCTGTGCTGCCCCAAGCGGTCTAACCGCACTGCGGAGATTTTGTTTTTTAAAGGTATCTTTTGTTTTTCTCTCTGCTTTGGAAATGCAAAGCTGCAACCTGGGAGGCCTCACGCCGGGCCCGATCCGGTTCGGTCCAGGCGGCCTCAGTACCTTGGTGTCCACGTCGGCCAGGCAGTCCCGGCGGAAGCTGTCAAACAGACCCCGGCTCTTGAGTTGCTCCACGATGAGCGCGATGAGCTGCGGGTCGCCGGGAGGCAGTGAGGCCGGGTTGATGGGGCCGCCGCTCCCGCCGCCTCCCGCCGCTCCCGTCCCCGCCCCCGCCGAAGCCGGGCCCGCTCCGCCGCCGCCCACCGTGCCCGAGCCCCCGCCGCCGCCGCCGTCCGCCATGGCTGCGCCCCCGGCCCGCGAAGGAGACCTAATACGGCTTCTTCTCAGGGACAGAGGGCCGGGGTCGTGTAGAGGTGGCGGAGGAGCCAGAGCAGGAGGAGGAGGCGGCGGCGGAGGAAGAGGAGGCAGGTTGTGAGGCAGAGGAGGTGGCGGGACAAGCGGCAAAAACCGCCCGCTCCATCCCAGGCGCTCCTCAGATGACGTCACCACGGGTATTTGCATTGTGGGGCGGGAGGTTTGCGGCAGTCATCTCCGGCGTTCTTATAGGCCGGAGTCTGGCGAACCGAAACTACAACTCCCGGCAGGCTTTGCACCCGCTCGTGGCCAGTTTGCGGGGCAGTATGGGAATTGTAGGCTTAGGCTCTCGTGATTTCTGCAACGTGGGCTGGCCTTTCAGGTCCATCACTGCAACCCTTGTTCTAAATTAGCGCCTACCAGCAGTTTGTGGGGTGATTAAAAAAATGTAGAGTAACAGGTTGATCCTTTAGAGGTTTTCATCCAGTTTTTCTGGATCAGGGCCAAGGACTCTGTGTTTTTAATGTGCACTCCCTTGGCCTCCTTGGACAATATGATGCAGGAAATTTCTATTATTCAAAAATGTATGCGGTTCTTTTTCTCCTTCAGATTTTAATAGCAATGCATACTGATTTTAGAAAATTGGAAAATAATGGCAAATTGTCTTCCTTATTTCTTTCTTACATGTGTGGATTTCTCCCAGTATTAAATATTACCACTACCACAACCAACAATAATAATAATACAACTAATAATGAGTAATTGTAATAGGGCAGGCATGCTGCTAAAACCTTTACTCACACTATGCAAAAACAGTCTAAAAAGCAGATATTGTTATTGCTATTTTACACGCAGAAATGGGGGCACAGAGTTTGTTGCCCTGATCACATGGCTTGAGGCAGAAAAGGAGTATTTGAACACAGGTTTTCTGAATCCAAATCTTGCAATGTTTAACCTGTTACACTACATCCTGAGAAGTAACTGGCATCATACACTAGGTAAGGCTTAATGTCCTGATCATTTTGTAGCCATAATTCACCGTTGGAACCCAGTGGCTGCCACCACTATCCTGTCTTCCTTTAAGCCTTTTGCCCATTGTTACCTCATCTCTTGCCCACAACCCCAGGAATTATGTCTGCTGTTGTTACTCTTTACCTTAAATAAACACTGGAGGGGATATAAATAATAAATTTTACAATATCTTTGGTTTCTGGGAAGAGGCAGAATAGACAGAGATCAGAAATTCTCTCCACTCCAACATTTCTTATTCAAGAAAGTTAAGCCCTGACCAGTTTGGCTCAGCGGTTGGAGCGTCGGCCTGCGGTCTGGAGGGACCCGGGTTTGGTTCCCGCTGAGGGCATGTGCCTCAGTTACTGCTTGTCCCCGGCCCTGGTTTGGTCGTGTGGGTGGCGACCACTCGATGTGTCCCTTTCACGTCGATGTTTCTTTCTTTCTCTCCCCCTCCCACTCTATCTGAACAAAATAAAAATAAAAAGTTAAAATGATCCCTCAAACTAAATATTCAGGTAGGTTATACTCATCTTTCAATAGCAGCGCATCAGTGTTCCTCAATGATTAATGTAATGACAGATGTTCTCTCTCAGTACTTCTCCATCCTTGAGACCACCTGATTCCTACTGATTGACCCCACTCACCTTTAGCCTCAGGAGAAGCCCATGTTCATTCCATTCCAAACCCCTGATCACTGACAAGCTTCATCTCCATTTTTGGCACATCACACATTACTCCTTCCTTAGGGGAAACTTTTCTGACTCTCAGACCTAAACTGGTCTTTTCTCACTGATATAGACACTCAGAACTTCATTCTTGTAGCAATTATTATCACTGAAAGTGAATAATTTATAGTATGATTGGACACCTGTTTCCCCTGCTAGAGTGTAAACTTTAGAGCTGGGATCACAACTTATCCATCACTGTGTCCCCAGCCCGTAGCACAATGCCTAGCTCAGAGTGAATGAATAAGTTCCAGTCTGTTACCTAGAGTCATCGGACAGGATGAGGGGGCGGGGAGCGGTTGTCACTTGGAGCTACAATCTTCAGGAAAGAAGCATTATAGTGTAAAATTAGGGGCTGATCTGTCATGACCTAATGGGTTAGTGATCCTGGAGATTGGCAGCAGATGGTTCACCCTTTGGCACTCTCACTGTGGGTCATGGGATCTTGTGCCCTGGTTGCTGGAACAATGAACTGTGAGAAGATGCTGTGCCCTGTACCTGTGACCTCACCACTGGAATTGATATAAGTGGGGTGGAGGATGAGATATAAAGGTGATCAAGACTAGGGGAGGCTTATTATTCATCCAAACTTGGAATAGGAAGCTGCCACTACATCCCTACTGCACTCTACCTCGTCAAGGAATGTGTAATACACAATAATGGTCACTAGGGAGTGCCATGACTACATTAATAATCCAGGACCTTTAGAAATTTCTATGCAGAATGTTGCTTTAAAATTTTTGCCTAGGTACGAATCTTATTTTCAGATACCCTTAGGGAAAAATATCATTCTTGGATCTCAGTATTAAAATCTGTGACAGGTTGCCTGATCCCAGTGAATTGCACATATGAAGGTGCTGGAATATTTTATGTCAAAGACAGCATAAAATGGTGAGACCACCACAGCCCAAACATAGGTCTGGAAGGAGAAAGGGCAGGAACCGGATCTGTTGGTTGCCATGGGAGATCTGAAACAGCAGCAAGTGCATGGGGTTTTTGCATGGATGGTGCTGGATTGGAATCTCAGCTCTGTCACTTTGGGGTGGTGTGACTTTGGGAAAGTTGCATAACCTCTCTGAGCCTCAGTTCCTCAGAACCTTGGAGAGGATTAAACATCATTTTGGCAATCCGTTTATAATTTCTGGCCCTTAGCACATGTTAAGTACGTGTTGTGGTCACGAATTTACATTTGGGTTGGGAGGTTATTTGATTAACCTCTGTCTTCCCCACTAACTTCTAAATTTACAAGGGAAAGGATTGTCGGTTTTTATTTGTCATCATGTTCCCAGCACCTAGAATAATGCCTTGGTAAATATGATAGATAGATGGGGGGGAGGGGGGGGAAGAATGGGAAATTTGCTCTTCTAAATATAGAATAAAGCTGTTTAAGGTTTTTGATACTGCCTTTAACGAAATGTCAGCGTATGGGGAATATTCAGAGGCGTCCAGTCCAATCTGGTGAGCTGTCCATAGTATATGACTAAGCTGGACTAGGAGGCAGGGACAGGGAGTGAGCCCTGAGGTTAGAAGTCAGTCTGTGGGTTGCCTTGGGAACCTTCCAACCTTATAATCCAAGGTCTTGATCCTTAAGCAAGAGCATTCCAGAGCTCTAAGACTGAACCCAGGGGTGCATTTAGACACCCCGCCCACTCGGAGTAGACAGGTTGTTGGTCCTTAGTCATGTTCACAGCGTGGCCCTTTTTCTTCCTGCTTCCACGATTCATCCAGGGCCTACAAGTCCCAGGCTGACAGCTGTGCGTTTCCTCACGAACAGCAGCCTGAGCTTCTCCAGTGGCCTGTGCTGTCGGTGCTGCATCGGCCACGTCTGCACCACGTGATCTCGGCTGCTGCGCTTTGTTTCTTCCCGGTGTTTTCCAGCCTCTCCCGTGACCCACTGGATCCACGTACACACTAAGAAAACGGGACTTTCGGAAGCAGCAGTCGTCCGCACCAATCAGTAGGTCACTGCCTCTCCCCCAGAGACGCGTCTTAGATAACATTTCAAGCAGCGGTGTTTTTAACACATTGTCGTTTCGAATTATCATTACTAAAGGCTGTCTAGTGAGAGAGTCAACCTGACATAACATGGAGAAAAGAGTGAGAAGTTTAGAATCTGGGCTGGGTTTGGATGGAACACCTCTGCTTGTTGGCTGTGTGATCTAGGGCAGTCTGAACTGACCTGAGCCTCTGTTTGCACATCTATGAAATGGGGATGATGTCAACACCCACCTTTTGCTGTCACAAAAATTAGAGATAATATATGTAAAACCTGGTACATAGTAGGCCCTCAGTAGTTCGTAGTTAATAACATGGTCTTGATACAAGATCCTAATGTACTCAGGTGTAGTTTGTTATTGGGCAAAAATTTTGATTCATACGTATCCAGACTTAACATATATATATAACTTTGTTTTTATAACTTTGCTCATTTTAACCCCGTGATGGCGTAGGAACCACTCAGCCAGTCTCTAAAGTGATGGGCTCAGTGAAGTCAAGTTCATAGTGAAGCCCTGCATGTTATTGCTGCCTAGGTCTGGATCCATCATCTACCTCTGCTGCCACACCCAGTCCTTTAAATACCAACACGTCACCCGTCAGGGGTTCTCTGTCCGCCATGGTCACCAGCACGATTTATCAGCCTGGGCCCCACAGTCAGGAGACACAGAGCACAGGCCCCAGCAGGCCCTACATGACATGTAGCAAGAATGGAAATGAGCCTTGGTTGTTTTCAGCCACGAGATTTTGGAGTTGTTTGTAACTGCAGCATAACCCAGCCCATCCTGACTGATATCGTCCAGACCGCCTTCCTGCAGGAAACCCACATCTTCTGTGGAATGACTGAATGTAAACACCAGTGAATGAATGAATGATTGACTGAATGCATGAATGAACCAGCTTCTTTCTCCCAGGCCCTATCCCTTTGGATCGTGTCTGGGAATGACTATAAACCAACTTAGTTCACTGGGTGTCTCTTTGTATTTATTTTATTTATTTTTAAAGAATGGTTTTATTGATTTTAGAGCGAGAGGAAGAGAGAGAGCAACATCGGCCGTTTGTCTCCCACGTGCTCCCGACCCGGGCTCCAGTCCGCAATCTCTGCGTGTGCTCTGACTGGGAACCAAATCGGCGACCTTTCGATGCAGAGGATGTTGCTCAACCAACCGAGCCACACCAGCCAGAGCTGTGTGTCTCTTTTTAGACAGCTTTGATCAGTCCTTCAACTTTGGAGCTCATGAAAATTCCCTGAGGACCTCATTAAAAATAGCGATGCCCAGCCATCCCCCCAAACCTACAGAACCAATCTGGTCTGCATTTATAACTAGTTGCCCAGGAGGTCTGACAGTGAGTGGACCAGAGCTGGGAGCTGTTGCCTTTCTGGTAGCAACTGTAGACCCCATCGATGACCAGAAAGGGTGATTATTTCAACAT